TGGGCAGCCTCCTCACACTTAAAGCATCTCCTACAGATTTTTATTTCTTTAAAGAAAACTGTGATGACTTAAATGCACAAGGTGCAGGAGGACCTGATATTAACAGGGGCAAAATCCTAATAGAAGTGTAAGGACACCGCCCCTGACCTGGCACAAAGCAGTGATCTTGGCTGTATTGTTATTGCCCCTATGAAAAAACCCGCAACCCTGCCATCTTAACGTGGCTGCGTTTAAGGAGATAAAGTCAATCCCGGTAGGCTTGACCCCATCCCCACCCCCGTGTGCAACACACTGTGTGTGTGAGTGAGCAGACACACTTAGCAGTAGGTATAATTCTGTCAACAAGGCTGCTGTCTAAAACACTTGCTAATTTTATATCATGAATGTTTTCAGGACATCAAGGAATATAATACTTTCGAGAACATGTAAGTGAATATATATTTGATCTCAAAATGAGGAAATATTTTCTAAGCATATGAGTAAAAGCAAAATAGTTGGCTACTTAAATTTTCACTTCAGTGTGTGTAAGACATGAAATGAAAGGTAGATGACAGTCGGAAGATATTCACAACATATAAAATGTGAAAAGGGTGAACCTGTATGTAACACGTTCTCAGAGATCACTTCTTAAGAAGGCACATCAAACAAATAAATAAGCGAAAGTCATCACCACGCAATTCGTAAAATGAGAAACACGTGGTGAAGAAGATGTAGGGAAAAAATGCTCATCATCACCAATGAAAAAAATGCAAAATTTTAAATCAGATTCTTATTTTCACTTACTGGGGAGATTCTGGTATGGGTTTGTTCAATGATAATTCCCAGTGTTGGTGAGAAAACAGTGAATTATAGTCTCTCAAAAACTACTGAGTATAAACTGGTACCATTTTTCTAGAAATTAATTCAGCCCTAAGCTTACAGTCTCAAAAATTTTTATCCCCTTTGTCTACATCTTTCCATGTATTTGAATTTATTTCTTAAGAAATAATCAGATGGACCAAAATATCTGTGTTCAACAAAGCTTACGGCAACACTGTTTATAACACTCAAAAGTCAGTACTTACATAAATGTCTAACAATAAGTAGAGTAACTAAATCATTATATAGAGAAATACCTAAAAATTGGTGGCCCTAAGTAAAACACAAACAAATAAAAACCCTAAGGATACAACATCAATTTTGAAAAAAATGCATTATTACAGGAGGACAGGCAGGGACTTGATTCCCTTCCCCTTCGTTAAATGAGCAACTGGATCTTGGAGTTGAACATAAGTGCAGCACTGCCTTCCAATCCAGCTGCTTAGTCCTGCGGACCTTCCACGGGGGTCCGGCATACTGGACTATTTCAACGGACCCAGTCCTGCAAACGCATAAATATTGTTCACCAGATTTCTAAAAAAATATTTATTTAGAAAACAGTTCACATCTTTTAAGTCTTAGGAACTCCTGTTCTTTGGCACAGTTTCCTCCTTTCCCGTGACTGGGAGTGTGGTTTCCCTTCGCTGCTTGGAAGGAAAGGGCACGTCTTATGTTCGGGTCCCCTCCCTTGGCAGCGCAGCGGATCAGAGAATCAGAGTGCGGGAGGACCTCTGTTAGGGACGGCAGGTGGGCTGGGGGTGGGGGCCGCAGCCGCTGAAGACCCCTTGGTTACAATTACAGAGGCAGGGCTGGCCGTGGAGGTGGAAAAAGAAGGTGACAGCTCCCTAGCCTCGGTTTCCCTTCCTTGGGAGCAAGGCGGCCGGGGTGGAAGGCCAGCTTTTCCCCAGCCAGGAGTCCCGTGATGGCCGCTGGGCTTGACTGATGGAAGGCGGCTCTGAAATCGTGTTGCCAGGTTACAGGAGGCGGGCTTGGAGAAGTCTTCGCATGAAACTGACTGACGGTCTCCCCCGGTGTCTGGCAGACCTGCTCTGGCTCCGTGTCAGAGCCCCCATCAGACAGGCCTGCGCTGAGAGGTCTGAAAGATGGTTCAGAGTTAAAAATGGACTCTGTTCGATAATAAATTATAATGATGCTTTGTATCAACTGAGGGAGCACTAAGTTCTTTATGGATATTAGCTCACCTTCCTTGCAATCGAGAAAAGATGATTTTGTCAGTTCAGTATTTGTGTGTCCTCTCTCTCTTTTACTTGGGGAAGAGGACAGCTATTGCAAGGCTGTTTTCTCCTATTAATTTGGAAACAGTAAATCTTTTTAAGTTTTTTCCACAGGAAACCTTTCCTTATTGGATTTCACATAAGAAATTAAAAATGAACAGTGGTGCCTTAAATGTGCGTGTATGTGCATTTATGTGTCTAGATGGATGTAGTAGCTACATAAATATTTAATTTTGATGGTCTAAGCCTTTTCCTTCAGTTTTCATGAGCCAGGATTTATTAGCTACTGAGCAGTGTGGCTACTGTTATTTGCTTTGGCACCTAAATGATATAAAAGTCGATTATGAATTGGCTCAGGGGATCGGAGAGCTGCAGCATGTCCTGTGGCTCCTGTAATTTCAGTTTGTTGCCCAGTGTCTGGAATGAGCAAGTGTC